TCCTCTGGGCTCCCAAGACTCCGACATACGCGGGGTCAGCAATGCTGCCGCTTCTCTACGGGAACCTGCACCGGCACTGCCAGCCAAATCAAACGGCTCTACGGCCGATCTAAAAGCTCCTGCGTCTCCTCTACGGGAGAATAGCACCGCAGAGCTTACACCTAATCCGGGATCTTCGTCCCAAACGGCAGGAGATACCCCTCAGGTGCTCCTGGGCTCAACCAGTGGTCTTTCGACCGCAGGTGCAGACACCGCTGTTCCTCTACGGGAGATTGCACCAGCGAGGTCTGCATCTCCACAAGGCTCTGCCTGGACCGTCGGTACGGCGTCTCCTCTACGGGAGCTTGCATCCGTCGTACACGAAACTCAATCGACAGATGTGGCTACTACAGGCGGAGTGGTTGCTCCTCTACGGGAGACTAAAACTCCCACTTCCGCCGAAACTCCTCAAGGCAAATGCACAGTGGCAAGATCCATTCGACAACAGGGACCTAAATGTGTTTTATGCACACAGAGGCACGTCCTTCGGGAATGTCCCGAGTTCATCAAATTGACCTGCGAAAAAAGGATTCGATTTGTGGTTCAGGAGCATTTCTGCTCCAATTGTTTAGGCAGGTCACATACCCTCCGAAAATGTTTGAGTCCACATCGATGTCAGAAGTGTAAAGGCGACCACCATACACTTCTTCACCTCAGCAAAAAGCCCCTATCCAAGGGAAAAGTCCGACCTTCGGGTAAAAAAGATTCCACGTCTCGTCCATCCACCTCGTCGCATATACCCACTTCGAAAAAGTCCGTTCCAAAGAAGTCCTCTAAACCTAGTTTGTCCGCTCCCCCTTGTCCGGTCTCGTCCAAGCCGTCGAGCTTTGTTGTTTCGACTATACAGTCCATCCAGCCCATTGTTACGCTGGGGCCGACAATGGTGGTTAATATTATCCTTCCGGATAGAAAAGTACCAGTCAGAGCGCTGTTGGACCCCTGTGCTGGACATAGCCGTATATGCTCCACGCTGGTTAGTAAGCTTCAGCTCAATTCTCTAACCGTTGGCCAAGAGCTTTATTGCCAACTTACTTTGCAATCATTTCATGATTCGTCCCAACTTCTGCGCGTTTCCGCCAGAAGTATGTCCTTGAGGCATGTGGTCACGCCGTCGCAATCAGCCCCCGACTATTTCAAGGACCATTATGCCGGGATGCAATTGGCAGATCCCGAATTCCATAAGTCCGCTCACGTGGGGCTCATTCTTGGGCCTGATGTGTACCCGAAGGTAATAAAGTCACAGACTTATTCGAGTCCCGGGTTCCCCTGGGCTCAATTAACCATTTTTGGTTGGGTGATATCGGGTCCTTGTCCACTGTAGGATCGCCAGAGATGATCAGCCAACATCTGTCTCTATGGTCAAGCTGATTTTTGGAGACAATCTTCAATTGTCTCGATGGTTCTACTACCATCAATTGTTTTTTGAAAAAATTAAGAAAAAAAAAAAAAATAAAATGAATTTTTATGCTCAAAATTGACGGTTACGCCTCTTATTTATTATAATTGTATTTCCTATTTATTGTAAGTTAAGATTTTTTTGTTGTAACATCGCTAGATGTTTCAAGGGTGGCGGTAATGTTTAACTTCAATTTAATTTAATTTCTTTAAAAATGCAACCCTTTGCTCTTTTTCTTCAATTTGTCAAATACCATTTTATTCAACTTTGAACTTTCGTTCAAAGTTAGTGATGACAAATTGTAACGAGCAAAGATGATCAATTCGCGCCTCTCTTGTGACATCTAGGCTTGCTCGCTACTTTTTAACTTACTTGTTTTTCGGATCTTCGTCCAATCAACATCGTTTAACAACACCCATTGTAAAAAGGTAAAGTTATATTAGTTTTTCGACTAATATAATATTCAATAAAACCGCCAATTTTTATTATTTCAAAATTTTAATTATTTGTGTTTTATTTTCCTTTTTTCATTTTCGCTGCTCCGCAACAGTAAGTTTTTGAATGAGTGGAGAGAGGTTCCAATAAAGGTTTTCTTGTCCCAGAGGAAGAGAGGACGAAAAAAAGTCTTTTACCCCTCATCAAACAAAAAGTATATTCTTTCGGGAACTATTATTGTCGCCGATTGTTGGAAGGTATGTTTATACGGAAATATCGGATTATTGGTCAAGGAATTTGAAATATTTTAGAAAAATTGTAAAAATAGACGAGAGTAAAATTAGAAGAAGAAACCCCAACAGAGGACATTGGGTCAGTAGGTGTTTGAATGAGTGGAGAGAGGCCCCAATAAAGGTTTTCTTATCCCGGAAATTTCGGATTATTGGTGAAGGAATTTGAAATATTTTGGAAAAATCGTAAAAATAGACGAGAGTAAAATTGGAAGAAGAAAACTCAACAGAGGACATTGGCTCATTAGGTTTTTGAATGAGTGGAGAGAGGCTCCAATGAAGGTTTTCTTGTCCCGGAGGAAGAGAAAACGAAAAACGTCTTTTACCCCTCATAAAAAAAGGATATTCTTTCGGAAACTATATTGTCGGCGATTGTTGGAAGGTACGTTTATACCCTCGGTCATATGGCTACAGAGGGTATATATCATTTGATACGGCCAAAACGTGTCTCATCGACCCTAGGTCTCTTTGGACTAAATCTGTTTCGGGGCATTTGGAGTCGATCTAGTGATGACCGTCCGTCCGTCTCCCTATCTGTCTATCTGCTGGCTGGTGCGCACGATAACTCTCGAAGGGAGTATCCGATTTGGTCCAAACTTGGTACATCATAATATTATTATCAAACTAAGATCGAGCTCGGAAATGCGCAATATCGGTTGGTCAAAATATATATTTTACTGCACAGAAAGAGAAAGGATCATTCGATTTTTCTCCAACTTTGAAAGACCTAATATTTGCATCAGGGGATAAAATAGTGTTAGGTTAACTTAGCACAATTTTAACTAACTTGTTGTGCACGAGGGACGATTCGGCTCTAAAACTCACATACAACTGGGCCAGACCAAGAGGTCTTTATGTAAACCCGGAAAAAACGGAGATATATTTTTTCGCTAGGAAAAACAAAATTGGGCCACTTCGATGAACCAGTCTTCCTGAATAAGATAATTAACACTTCCAATAACGTTAAATAACTTAGCGTTATTCTAGATTGGAAACATATGTCCAAGAACGAGCAAATAAACCTCATAGATGCTGGGCAATGTTTAATAGGGTTCTAGGCTCAAAATGTGGTTTCAATCCAAGGATGACACACTGGCTATTCAAAAGCGTAATTAGACCTATTCTAGCTTATGCAATAAAAACATGTAAAAAAGCAGCTATGTTCGGCCGGGTCGAACTTTTAATACCATCCACCAGTTTGGAGGATTTTGAATAATTACAAACAAATCTGGCGAAAAATACCACTTAAATGAAAATTGTATTATTATTTGGGGGATATACGAAGACGTGGACCTGTATATGTAATTTTTTTTAAAGCCTGTAGTGTCCATTACGAACTTGGAATACGAAATTTGAAACAATTCGGGTGAATGAGGTCTCTAATATCATCAAAATACCGAATATCGGAAGGTACCGTTATGTGGGGGCCAAACGATACCATGGACCTACAAAGACAATTCTCTTCCAAGGGGTAAAGTACTCAGAAGAAACTGCTTGTGTGGAATTTCAGAAAATTCCATTGAAAAATGTGGCTACAATCATTAAAATACCGAATATCGGCAGGTACCTTTATTCAGGGTGAGATAAAAACACTGCAACAAAGTCAAACGCCATAATTTTTACATTTTTTTTTTTTAATTTTATTGAATGATTGCAAAAAATGTCGGAAATAGCATCAAATTTTAGAATAAGTTTAGATTTGTTCGAATTGGTTACCTTTGGAACGAATTATGTCCTTCAAACGGCCAATGAAGCCGTCACACGCTGCCACTGCTCTGCGGTATTTTGGTCCATTCCCGGAGAAGCGTTTGCTTGAGAGGTGATCGATACTTTGGTATTTTTTAGAGACACAATAGTCCAGACACTCCAGACACAATAGTCCAACGGATTGGTATCCGGAGATTTTGGTGGCCAGTGGACGCTGGAAATTAAGCGTGGAACCTAATTTTGTAACCATTCGTGGGTGGCGCGTGCTGAATGCGATGGTGCTGAGTCCTGTTGGAATGTCCAAGGTCTGCGGCCAAAATGTTCGCGTGCCCAAGGCTTCAATACACCCCTCAGAAAATTTTCGCTATAATATTGGACAATTATTCTGATGCCACGGTCGATTAATACGAGCGTAGAGCAACGATCGGCTGTTATTTCGGCTCACACCATCACCATGGTCGGCGCTTGATTTCTGGTGGCCAACCGAAGGTGCACATTTTCATCTGACCTCTCTGGCAGGTAAACACGATCATTTTGTTTGTTCACAAATTCGGGAGTTCACCACTTTCGGCCAAGCGAAGCAACTCCTTAGCTCTTTTGAGTCTATTTTCTTTCCGCTGCGGTGTAAGTTCTTCCACTTTTGGGAATTTCAATGGCTTTACCCCGAGCTCATTTTTCAATATTTGCCGAATAGAATATTGCGATATGTTCTGCTCACGAGCCATTTTTCGCCCACTGCATACTCTAATTGGAAGAGCCATGGTAAACTTAAGAAGGTGAAGTCTTTTCAAATAAGCATTCCCATCTTTGTATTTTCTGTAATTTAGATTTTTAAATTTCACTGCATGGAAAGTAGGTTCCCATCTCTGATTAGTGCATGTACAATTATAAATATGCATATTGACAATAAGATGTTGTCAAATAAATAATTAAAAGACAATTGTAAACGCATTACTTTACCTTCTTAATGCTACCATGGGAAGAATAATAAATTCATTTCTTTCAATAACGGACTAACAGCATGTATAAAAAAGTATCTGGCAATGCTGTAACACAAATACAAGCAAACCAGCAAAAAAGACGTTGGCAACACTATTTCCTTTTTGAGCTGTGTTCAGTATGTACACCAGCAGGCGTTCAATACAGTTTGATGAACTTTGGCGTTTGTCTCGAAAACACATGAAAGTAAATAAATGAAATAAAATTATTTGTTGTTAATGGTAAATCAGCTATACTCTCTACTTATTTGTCATCATATGTGTTTTATATTTTCTTTTTTTTTTAGTAAATATGTGATTTGTATCATTGACGTGTATATAAAAGCAACGGCGTCAAATGTTATGTTGCCGTCGTTAATTTGCAGTGGCCTTGGGAACGCCACTAAATTCAAGTTCCGGGAAAATCGAAAAATTATCTTTTCGAAATTCAAAAGCAGCAAAAAGGCTATTCCTTCTTTATTTCAAAATAAATAAATCCACAATGTGAGCAGTAAGCCCCAAATAGTTCGTTATAGACCCCATGAAATGGTAAGCGAAACTAATTTCCACCAATTGCAGTTAAGAATTCTAAAAAGTACATCATCTCCAGAGTTGAAGATAATCCCCTTAAAATGTACCTAATCGAATTGTGGGTTTGTAGACTAAATGACCATAAGAAAAATGGCCTGATATACATATACCTTTAACGTAGTCCATAATAGTAAGTATGTTTTTCAAATTCTAAACTATTTCTAGACGTTTCCAAGAAATACACTTTTAAAATATTTGTAGGAAAGACAGGATAGCATTGTTTCAAAATTCCATGGTAGGAAACATGGTAGAAGAATACATGTAGTCGCATTGACACAACTGGTGGGACAATGAACTGTCAAACCAATCTTGGAATTGAAAATTTGGAATGAAAAATGAAAGGAAATATATAAAAATCTATTTATTTTTGAAAATATATTTTACATTTTTTGACATTTCAATGTTCCCAAGCGTATTCTTCTATTACGGTAGGAAAAATCAAGGTAACCTTATGGAACTATTGCTCTGTTCCAGAACCTGCAAGAATCCATTTCTTTCACAATTTTTTGCTGTCATAAAGGAAAAAATGTATGTCCTAGTAACGTTTCTGCAGTCATGCAGGTTCTGAAAAGGAGCATTTATGTTTATATTTTTTTTTGTAAAAAAATAAATATCTAGCTTCAAACGTACTATGGTGAATATATTCAAATCTGAGCATTCTTTCCGAGGAAAGGCTCTGCCTACTAACATTTGAGAATAAGATTGTTGTCGGCGAGTACCATCGGTCGGAACTGGAACTTATTTATCGTAATGGGAATTTTAGACGAACGAAAATCAGAATGCAATGGTATAATAAACATAGGAGTGTTGGAAGAGTCAAAATCGATGTTTAATTGATTGGACATAAACGAAAAACCGCCGAAAAAAGCTTCTGAAACAGAGCAATTCCGTTAGAGTCATATGTACTGTCTCTTTTTTTATATAAAAAGTTTACCAACAACAGATTTTAACATTTTTAACATCTAAATTACAATTGATAGAAACAATGTCATGATGGCAATGCCATATACAATTGACGCCGTTAAACCCGAAGCTTAACACCGTCAATCACAGTTGTACGCCGTTGTATCGTTATATTGGTCTAGCTGTGACATTTGTCCGGGCAGCTCTTCGGGTTTTGATTTGGCGATGGTTATTCAGTCTCGGAATCAACATCATACTGGATTGCGTGGAAAAAATGGAGCGGTAGCTAACGAAAACGGTGATTAACAGCAGCGAAGAACGCAAAGAAAACGGCTTTTGTCCGCTACTTCAGCGAATGTTTTTTGTTTTTTTAAGTTACAACGCAGAAAAAAATAAAATCAATTTTTTAAACCAACCAAAACAAAAAAAAAAAAAACAACGACGTCGTCGACGGCAACAACAACAACGTCCTTCAACGTCAACTGTATCAAACTAGCAACCAACCAACCAAGCAATCATTACACTGAGTTTTATTTTTTCATTAAATATATTACTCCACACTACCAGAGCCAGCAGCAACCCTAGGAAAGGCAAAGCAGCAGGCATCCAGTTCCAAGTACCTTTCCATACATATGACGACCCAGCCGAATGTGAGAAAAGTCTTCTCGTCATATTGTATGTGATGAAATCAACAACAGCAAAAACCATCTAAAAAACCAACCAACCAAGAACTACAGCAACAACACAGCCCACCATCCAACCAAAAAATCTTAATGAATTGCAATAAATTTTGGAATAGCAGCCAGAACAATCCCAGGATTGGAAAGGAGCAAACCCAAAACCCACAAATTGAAAAGTCGAAAATTTATTATACCAGCAACAACCAACTATATACTATTTTTTCATCTTCAATACCACCATTGGCCACCAATACCACTGCACTCTACACTCAACCCAATTAAAAATAGAATTCCTTTGCAGAGCAGTGGCAGAGCAACAATTGTAAAGCAACTGTCCGTGATTTTGGGGGCAGAGCAGAGCACTACACAAACGTGGCAGAGAGCGTAGTGCTGGCAGCGGCAGCTGTAAAAGTTTTATTTGATGTGATTCTTTAACTCCCCCCACGCCCCCTATAACTATTAAATCTACAAAATTTAAATAATTTCCAAAGGAAAATCTATAAAATTTTCCACTTTTCCTGTGCATAACGTTGCTTTTGGGTGATTTTGATGCGCAATTTCTAGGCCGCTGGCAGAATTTCTTTTCGGCAGCGCAGTCACCATAGCCGCAGCAGCAGCGATTTTTTTCTACAACAGCCGCCGAACATAACAAAGCGGTTGAATTTTTCTTTTATATTCCATTTAAAAACTAAAACAAATCTTTAAAAACAAAAAACTAAATTTAATTCCAAAACTACGCTAAAACTTCTCTAAATAAATATATAAAAAAGTTTTTATTTCCCAAAGTCTGAAAAGAAATTAACCAAACATCCACAGACCACCATTTTGAAAGAGTCATCGTATCATCGTGTGTGTGTGTGCGTGTGAAATCAAAAGAAACCGAAGAAAACAAACAAAAAAAATAAACAACAGCTGCACCAGTGAGAGCGTAAAGAGCGAAATTTGAATTTTGTGCATACATTGTATTACAATTTTATTGTGAGAGAGAGAGCGAGCGAGAGTGTTTGTAAAGTGCAACAGTGAGCGAGAACAATTGTTGTGTTTTGTCAAGGGAAAGCCTTCGGAGAGCGAAAAAAGTGCATTGACGTTTCTCTTGCAACAATAACAACAAGTTGTAAATCAAAAAAGAAAGGTGACAAAAATTTAAGGCTGTTTTGTTTGCCAACTGCTGTGGTATTATTTCTTCCTCCCTCACACACATCAACTCCTTGGAGCCCGCAACAATTCCCCTCCAACGAACGAAGGGAAGAGGAGTAGGAACTTGTTTTTCCTGGTTAAAGTTGCAGAGTTGGTTTTGTAAATTTTCTGCTTTGGATAGAACCCTGTCACACCATATCATCATCACTACTAAAGAGCTCCCCCACACCAGTATTTTTTTATATTTTGGAATCAACTATCAACCCAACCCCCTCGTATTTCATCTTTACAATAACAACAACAAAAACCGAATAAAAAATGGTTGAACGCATTTTGGAAGAAACTACCTCTGAAGATACGGATTTAATTGCCCCCAGCAATGGGAAACGCATCGACTCATGCACCAACGGCCGTACTCTACGTTCCTATGCCAGTGTTGTCAATTCCAATAGGAATGGCAGTGAGGAGGCGGCCGCCACAATGGTTATGAAGATGAACAATAACAACAACATCAATACCGACAGCAATAACAGCTGCACTGAACTAAAAAACTCAGGTATGTACTTTGAATTGTATACCCGGTTGTTTTTTTTTTTTATTCTTGTTATCTTTTGTTCAATATTCACCTATTTTTCTGTTTTTTTTCTTTTGTGAATTTGTGATGAAACCAACCCATTGGTTTGGGGGTTTCTTTGTTTGGCAAACACAGCTAGAATTAGAAGCGAGACAGGCAGGGAAAGATGATAGCGCAACAATTGTTATTTGAATATGATTTGGGAAAGGAGGAGGAGCAGGAGGAAAAGGCACTGTGTGGGGGATATACGATACAGAAATTTGGGTAATACACAGAGCCATGGGATAGGTATGTATATGTACGTACGTATGTCTTATTTAGGTTTATTAATTATCACTATATTTATTTACAGTCTAGAAGAATCGTTAAAGAAATTCTTAGTTATTTATTATTTTGGCTGGAATCATGTGATGTTGTTGTTTTTCTTGGCATTGCTTTCTCAAAAGAAATTCCTTTGTCTGCTCGTGTGCTGTGCAGTGTGTTGTTTGTGTGCCAGCAGCCTGCCTACGTGCGGATCCCGCCATATGTTGGAATTGTGTTGATGCACCAGTGCCTTAGATTAAAAAGATTATTTTTGTGTGTTCTGGATGGGGGAAATCCAAAGAACAAACACACACACACAATGGCCCTCGCCGCCATCTAACATCTGTTTGGTAAATCCCAAAAGAAGTGTATCAATGAGCCAAAGAGTGCACTCCTACACAACAACCTGTTGCTACACACTTCAATGCTATTGTTATCCTTCTCATTACTCATTACCAGCTGCATGTTCCAGTTTTTAAATAAGGGATGCTAAGGGCCAATGCAACAGTGTTTTGTAAATGATTTCACAAAAGAGAGGGATAGAATTTCCAGGAAAAGCTGATCACTTTTAGTCATGGTGCAGTACATATTTAAATCAGTTTTATAGTTGGGGGTGTAAATTTAAAATTAGGTTTAATTTGATGTACAGAAGATTTTCTTTCTATAGCCCTTCCCTAAGGATTTCAGTAAATCTTCAGTGATCAGAAGAACTTCTAGGCCTTTAAAATTACTTCTACTTACTATAGGTATCTTATTCAAAGAAAGAATGTGGACTGGCTTCTACCTATATAATGCCCTTATATGGCCTGCCTACTATGGAAGACCTATGAATATCTTCAACCTATAGAATACCTATAAATGGTCGGCTATATCATTTTAGGTATGGAAGGCCTATAGAAGCCCAGCAAAATGTATTTCAAAGTAGAGCAGCTCTTTTGAAAGGCCCTTTAGTTAAAAAAAAAAACCTTTCAAAGATCTGTGAATTTTTTTCAAGTATTCTATAGGTCGAAGATCTTTATAAGTCTTCTATAGTTTGATTCCATTATGTAGGTCTTAAATATATTAAAAATCTATCTGACACGTTTTAGCTAGCTGCAGAAGGTCTAAAGGAGACATGTAGAAGGTATTCTAATTTAACAAGACCCTTTTGAAAGACCTTCTATGTGAAGAAGTCATTTAAAGATATGTATGTCTTTAAATGTAGGACACACCCATTGAAAGATCTTCTACGTGAAGAAGTCATTTAAAGATATGAATGTCTTCAAATGCAGAACACATGTATGACACATGAGTTTAGGTTGAAAAAAGATATGTTTGGAATGCCTTTTGTATTCCTTCAGAAGACTGTGTATGTCTTGAAGAAGGTTTCTTATGTAAAGCATTTGATAGGGTCTACAAGCTATAAACACATTTAAAGTTTTTTTTTCCAAAGTAGAAAGGTCTCCTGTAATGGAAGACTTATGGAAAGGCTTCTATGTATAGACCGCATACAGAAAGCCTTCTGGGTATATAAGGTCATTATTGCAAAGAAGAGCTATAGCAGATTTTTTATTTATAGAATATCTATACAATGTCCTACACGGCATAGTGATAAGGGTATTATGTCTTTGTGCATTTGTTTGTAACATGGAGAAGGAAGCGAAATAGACTCATAGATACTTTTGAGAATCTTCATAGAATCACTTTCTTAGTCGATTTATGCATGTCAGTCCGTCTGTCTATGTATTCTTGTGATCAAAATTCAGGTCTCATTTATTATCCGATTGAGATGAAATTTTGCAAACAATATTTGTTTGGCCCAAGG